GGTGGGAACTAGACTTGGGCGGGCACGCAGTCACGAAGGCAGTAAGGTGAGGAAAGGTGGCTGCCAGGGGGAGCTGCGAGAGGTGGTGATGCTGAGGAGCTGGCAAACGGGGACCAGGGTCAGAGCAAGAGCTACACAGCTGGCAAGGAGTCACCTTCTGACAGCCAAAAGCAGCTGTGCAAGGAGACAGAAGGAAATGCGCGTGAAAGCAGGTGGGATTTAGACTGTCACACTCAAGAGGTTGAAACCAGGAAGACCAAGGAAGCAGGCACTGGGCACATCTGCACTGGAGATGGGGTGGGATGTCCACACTCCCCGAAGGATGGGACTGGAGGCTCCCTCGCAGCATCTCAGCTCCTTCTGCCACTGAAAGCTGGCAGACGCTGGCCACCCTCTGCTCCATTTCTCTGGAGAGGAGACCTGGGCACACAGACTGAGCGGGAGCTGTGCTGCCCTGAAGATGGGCGTACGAGCTGTGGTGGGGGGACCTCAGGGCGTGAGCAGCTGTGACCCAGCCGCTGCACCAGCACTTGGCGGTGAGGTGCCCAGGCATGACCTTGGGACAGAACAGACTTGGCAAGGATGGGAGGGAAGAAACAGGTAAATTTCAGGGGAACCAGGGGAAAGTAAAGATGCCACCTCACACCTGTGGAGGCCTCAAGAGATTCCCAGATCTCAGCAATGTGAATAAACCCCAAGTGACAGCTTCTCCCTCTTCTGGAGCGAGGGCCTTGTGGTAGGTGAAGAGATTCAAAGTGCAGGATTTTAGACACTGTCACACAACGTAATTTCTGTTTTTTTTTTTAACCATTGCACCATCTGATTCATCACACAGGGCGAGCAAGCTCCTGGGAGGAATCAGAAGTGCGTAGAAAAGACTACTTCACCTATTATTGAAGTTGATGGAAATGCCTGATTGCGGATGGGTGGGCTTAACTGTTCAGCCAGCTGAGTGGCGCGCTAGGGAAAGGGCTTCTCCACTGCTGTGAAATTCCCAAATGACTGTCGGCAGGTTGTGAGAATGAGCATTTCCAGACACGGTCACCGCTTCCAGGCAGCGAACTTGGTGCTTGGGGCGGTTGTTTCAAGAACGATTGTTGCTCAGAACCTGTTTGCAGTTGTGCTTCAGGTGCATGCAAGCCAACGCTGAGATACGAAATAGGACGTTAAATTGTGGAGCAACCGCAGGGCTGCTTCACAGCGCTGCCTCTCCACTCTTCAGGCGCCCAGACGTGCAGATCAACTGACACCTTCTTACAGGCCTGCAACACTGGAAACGAACAACCGTTTGTGTTTCACAAAGATGACATTACAATGAGAACCTCAGGGAAGTGAGCGCGTTCATCCATCATCAGGATAGGCTTTGGACAAATACATAGAGCGAAGACACAGAAAACGCGATTAAAAAATAACGAATAGCTACTCAGTGGGGCTTCCAGCATAAAACACTACACGATCATGTAATTAAAGCAACCTAATTGAAGCATTTCCTAATTTCAGGGTACTTTGCTGTGCCTCTTTAATATTCCTTTCATACAGTGTTTTGTTGTATACATAACACACCGAGCTACGTGTCGAGTATCTCTCACACCCAATTCTTAGTATCTGGGGAAGACAAAATTTGTATGAATTGATACAGATTTCTGGAGAACTGAGACGCCGCACACAGGTTGTATCCACGTGCTAAAATACAAGCAAAATAGACACACCAATTTTGAAAATTTTTGCAGTGGCAGTAGTTCTTCTCCTGGAGATTCAGTTGCAGAAAAGCGGTGCAGGATTTTGGCAAGAGCCATTCATTTCTTACACAAGATCCAACACATTGAGTCTTGTCTCCAGATACGCCTTTACTGCAAAAAAATGACATAATACAAGTTCCTTGCAGAATTTAATCTCTCATTAACATCCAGACTTGTTGTTTATTCTTGTAGTGTCCTAAACTGGGGGCTTGGTTGTATGCTATTTTTCCTTCCCGCTCCCCCACCATGAAAAGTGCTCATAAATAAGTTAAACATGCATTAAATTAGAGGTGTACTTTTGTCTTTATAGAAAATCTGTCAGCCACCTCCCCCCAAAAAGACACCACAACATTGCTCCGGATTATCTACTTCTTTATTTCAGTTAAAACAAATATACAGTGTTTCACTGAAACTGTGTTGCGCTCCCTGCCACCACCTGCAGCGGGACTGCTGGCCACTAACCCTACAGTGGGTATTTACATATCTACAGGGGTGTACCGCCGGACGCCTGAACGCGCTGCCCTGACACAGACCTTGGATCGCAGAAGTTGTTAGGTTGCCACATTCAGGAAATCGTAACATCCATGGTAGATTTCAGAGGAGAAGTACACACGAAGCTGAACGGTGCTTTTTATGGACCCAAGTGACTCTTGTGTTTATCGCAACATATACATTTGTAATAAATACAATCTTAGTGTTTTCTTACACACCTTAGGCTGAACATGGTTTCTTCCATTTTTGTGTAAAAGAATCTTTCCTTTGACAGCTGTCACATATGTACATGAACAACTCCTTGAAATGATGTAACAATCAGTGATGAGAGAGGAATATATACATGAATCCTGGATTGCAAACCTACATTATATACATTATACTTACAGTATATACACACATACAATTTATGTACATAGACTATCATAAATATTGAAAAATAGGTTTAGTTTTAATGGATTAATGTTTTATAAATAACATGTTACACATATGACTGAAATATCATGGAAGACAGTAACGTCTAACTGAGGTGACAAAACAGTGGTTTAATACTGAAGCTGCTCTTTTGGGTGGTTTGCAATGTAGGTAACTAAGCAGACAGGTTTGAAAAAACAACATCCCATAATTAAATAAATTGTATGTTGGAAATCGACCCAGCCAAGTGGAACTCAACTGTTGCAGGTGGAGAGCCAGTCAAAATAATATAGCACACAATGTAACATATGGAAATTGCTACATTTGGAGAATTAAGTGACATGTATGACACATTATGAGGTCTCATCAGAAAAATCTTCCCCTTCTCTGGCCGCTGGCTGTGTAGTGACTTCTCCTTTATACCTCCCTCCTCTTCCGTGGTTACTGAGAGGAAGGAGGCTATTTCTCACTACTTTTTTTTTTTTTTTTTAAATGATGGCAAGGGAAGCGTTTCAACCCTTATGTGCTACAAATTGCTCAAAGGTAGACAACATTTTAATCCTCTTCCACCTTTCTACATTTGTGGAGAGGAAGAAAAGCTGCCGTACTGAGGCGGCACACGCTCAGCACTGCGGTGGAGATCAGGTAACATGCGACAGCCACGGACGTGCAGTACCTCAGGCGGAGCAGCACCTAGGGAGCATTTGTCGGTGCCGACTCCAGGATCGTTAGTTGCCAGTTAAGTACCACCCAACTAATAATACAAACAACACAAGAGGAATCTGTCTTCTCGTTACAGTTTTACAATACAGACTTAATGACCAGTACTTACAGTCATGCAGAAGTATCAGTACAAAATACCTGCAATTTTTTTCCCCCCAAGATTTTCAATGGCTGGGCAGAGACTGACATTACCTGCCAGACAGTGACTATCATTCAGATTTGTTCTTGATTAATTCTACAAGAGCAAAAAAAGTATCGGGCCCTGTTTAATCAATGGATTACACGCCCTTACTCGTTCCTTCTGACACAATGACCGAGTGGAACTTAGCACATCAGATTTTTAAAACATCGTGTCAGATGAAGACAGCTGACCACATTGCCATGATTATTTCATTAATAATCTCTATCTAGGCTTTTGTACCCAGTATTGTTGTGTTTGAGAACCTCTTACAAGCAAGTACGCTGTTATACAACTGTTACTTCTCTTCAGCCTGGGATACGAATGGAAGAGTAAACATGCACTAGAAACAAAACAGCTATTCACAACCATACAGCACCTGTTCATCAGCTAGCTAGCTACGGCTCGTTAGAATCTTACCTACTTTTGAAGCAAACAAGTATGAGATGACTATCCAGTCTATGAGGTTATCTTTAATACTAGTACACAGCATAAATTGGAAGAGGAATCCCAGTTGCGTATGCGAAGAGAGTTTGTACCAAGCACGAAATACTGGTGCAGTTATTTTGTGGATTTGACTCAGAAACAGAATAGTCAAGTAATTCAAAATCCAATAATGGATGAGTAATTTGAGAAATACTGTACACTTTTGGAATATTATACAACTAGTAAACTACATTAGGACCTTTCTGTTTTCCTACAGAGTGTTTCAAGATACATTGGACAGAAAAAAATCCCAAACATTGCTACAACTGACAATGGACCTTATTAATAGAGAGAACTCCAGGAGGGAGTTTTGTATTAATGGCATGATATGCTCCAGTGCCATTCACTTTATATATGTACAACAGAAAAAAAAAAACCACAAAAAAGGAAGAACCCCCAAACCCTGTTTTACCCAATTGCACTACTGAGTACCTCAAGAAGGGAAATGTCAAAACCATGTTTACGATTTCTAGATTAGCTACGTTTTTCAAACACACCCATTCTAAAGGGTGTCTTTTTTAAAGCTTAAAAAATTGGGTTTCCACATCATTTTTGGGAACTAAGGTAACTGTAGTTACTTCAGTAAGCTGACAAATGATTTTCAGGATTATCATCACTCTACTTTGAGCTAAGTCAATTTCACGGGAAGCATTTATAATTGCAGAATTTTGACCTGAATGGGTTCATTTTCTGTTTTGGTCATTAGAAGTATCTTTTAAAATAAAATGTCTTCTAATTATGCCTCTACAGAAAGGCAAACTACATTTAATTTAGGACACTGATTAAATATTTTTATGAGGTCTTCTTTCTTGTTTCATTCTTTTTAGAAAAATGTTACCTAAAGTCAAAATAGTGCTTTTGAGGTCCATTAAGAATTTTTGGTACAAAAAATAATAGCGTTTCTCTCTCTCTCTCATTGGTTATTTAAACACTTTACTGTAAATTAAAGAGTTATTTCTCACATCAAATGGTTCCATTAGGCACATTCAAGTAAAATAACAAAATATCCAAGTAACAATGATGCAAGCCAAACATGGCTTGATAAAAGTCTACAGAGAGTTCTGTCCATTCTCTGGAATGGAATAAAGTTGTCACTTCCTTCAGCCAGACACACTCATGTGGTTTGACGTTAATTGTGCAGAATAGTTTCTTAGAGACAAGAGTTCCGGTGTTCTACAATCAGAATAGCCATCAACAAAGAATCTGCATTTTAAAGGAAGCTGAATAGTTCACTTTCATTCTCAGTAGGTATCTGAGTGAACACTGGCATTTGAAGTGGAGTATTAGAGATTACACCAAGTCAGTTAATGGCCATCAGATGTAACATTCTGGGTCCAGTCTAGAATAATCAGTGTCATACACCCAATCATCACAAGTATACCACTTAGAAAGAACAGTGCAGCCTGAAAAAAAGAAAACATAAAAGAAATATTTCAGTTTCTGCTACTATACCCACAAAGCCATGACCATTTATGGGCACAGATGCCATTGCTCATGGAGGACAAAATAAAAGATACAAGCGATCGCAGTAAACAACAAGGAGCTAGGTTATCTTTCTTACACTTTGGGCAATTTTTCAAATAAAAAAGTACACTTATTTTCAGTATAGCAGACCTCACCCTCAAGTGAGGGAAATTAAGGTAGCTGCTGATACCAGTCAGGCTGTGCCACTGCGCCGACTTAATTCTGACTCAGTACGCCTAAGATGTGATTACGAGTCAGTACATCCAAGATCAGTAAGAGCACCAAGATCAGCTAGGATGACTCAAACAATATGGGGTAAATTATTTAAGTAAGTCTTGAAAGAAAATTTAAAGACCAAGAAGACTTTTCAGTATAGGTCTTAAGGGTAATCTGTTGAAATCTGGTTCTTATCAGCAACAGGATGACTACTGTTGAGACTGGGGGGTGAGCTAAGTCACTAAAGTGAATGGAGCCTTGTGACGGCTGTTTCCTCAGTTTTGAGTACCTATGTAACTGCCACGTATTCACAGAGATAACAGGAAATGCCAATTCACTGACCACCTTCACCAGGACTTCAGAATTCTTAAATCATGAAGGAAACTGAAGTTCTTGCTCTGAATTAGTAAGCAAGTATAACTACTACATATTTGTCTATACATACCCCAATCTTTTGCACCGACTTCATTGGTTCCTTCTTCACTAATTTGATATAGAAGGCAGAAGGAAGTATAAAGATCAGCATGGCAGCCGCAGATGCACCTGTATTTAAAAAGCATATAAATAAATATTCATAAACAGGTAAATATAATTTAATTAGATAGGAACTGCATTTTCTGAGATTTGAAAGACTACTTGAACTGACATGAAAATGCTTACCAATGAATCCAAAGATGTCTCGAATAGTAGGGACAAAGATAACAAGCACATTGGTAAATGCCAGAAGTGCAACTGTAATGGAACAGTGACGCCACCATCTGAACTCCTTTCCTGCCCACAACAGCTGGGTAATGGAACTGCGGATCTTTTGAAGGGGGGGGATAAAAAAAAAAAGAAAAAAAAGAGAAAAACACCAGTTTAGTCTTCATTGCGGAAGTCAGTGACTGTCACCTGAATTAGACCTTTCTTCTGCAAGTATCTGAACATAATTTTCCTGAACACTTCAAATTTTAATAGAAGTTGAATGAGGTGTAAATTTTTTTTTTTTTTAAATATTTACTTAGGTACTTGAGAGGCAGCTCTGTGTTTCTGCTCTGTTTCTCTTTTCAGTGATTTAGATTTTCAAAGCACAGCCAGTACAGCAGAAAAAACAAGGAAAAACATCTGTCTTGAACAAAAACAAACCCCAGGGATTTTTGCAGCATGTAAGGATGCTACCCAACAATATACACCTAAACGGTCAGAATTTGTGTTCACAATGTACTTTCCCCAATCAAACCATACCAAGAAAACAATGTAACTGAATGTATTTCTAGATACTGTTCTGTAAATGCTGCCTTTTTATTGAATTTATTTGAATTAACAGTATAGAGATACTTCATCAAGCTTATCAGAATAAATTTCCTTCTTCAGGTAAGAGAAAAATTCTTTAAATTAATAAATGGAAGCTACCAAATCAGTAAATAACTGCAGCAGAATAGGTGATGAAAATAAAAAGGTAGTAAGATTAAAAAAATAAAATACTTACTGGGAAAATAACTACAGGTACAGTAAGGGTTACAGCCATCAGTACAGCAAGACGCACAATAAGAAGAAGAATATCAGCACCCAGATAAGCAGAGTAGGTATGAAGCAGTTCTGGTTCGACTTTTCCTATAAAGAACACAGTATTTTAATTAGATGTAGGTGACATACTTCTCAAAGAAGCACTTCTGCTCAAAATCCTAAGTGAATTTTACAGTTACAGCAATATGAATTGAAAGCCTCAACAGCTCCTGTAAGCACGTCTCCATTTTACACAGGCACAAATTCTGTTTTAATCCAGTTTTAATCCTGTGACTTGGGCCTAATTCTACTGCTGATCTCCTTTTGGGTCTGCACTTGCAAAAGCATTACAAAGACCCCCAACGAACAGTATATATTTAGAACCCACAGTAAATGCCTGCTTGTTCCGACTTGAAAGTAATACTGTGGGTTTGCAGAACCTAATTAATTGAAGAGAAAGCAGAGAAGGCAATATTCACCATAAAATGTCAGGTATCCGAAGAGAGCAGCCAACAAATACATGAGGAACATGGCAAAAAAAGATACATAGGACACATTCATCATTCTTTTACGGCTTCGGCTGCAACAAAAAGAAACATTGTTAGCAATGAGAACCTACTGGTTTATGCTAGTTTTTTGTTTCGTGACATTGCAGACACATATCTAACATTTACCTTTTCAGCTCTTCGTAGATAGGAAGAATTGCAGGATGACAGACAAAAGAAAATGTCAGGATTGGGACAGCATAGACAGTCTGAAAAACAAAAGTATCTTAAGTATCTAACGGACATTAGAAATTTAGCTTTAAAAGAAATTCATTGGTAGATTTTTCAGTTTTGATTTAGGCATTGGGTTAGTTTTTGATAAAGACCAGCTATTCTTTACAACTGAAACTTTAGCAAAAATTAAAACAAGTTCCTGTTTTCTCAAACCCAGACCCTAAGGTACCAAATACTCTCAAATCTCACCAAAGTCCATGCCGAGCTGAATGCATTTGCATTCAGAATTATGTTTGCATGTGACAGGCTTAAGCCATTATAGCCTGATCTTGGTATTGGCCATTAAACATACTTCTTCCTCATGTACATTCACCACCGTAATTGGGAGCATTCCTGAAACCCTGGCATACATTTCCTATTCACATGCTTTTACTATTTACTTCACCTTCTTCTGCAATCTGCTTTTTAAAACGCTTTCCTAATTTACTTGAGAAAGCTTGAGAAATCCTGTGCTGAAGAACGAGATGTGTTTATTGCCACTCCTTTCAGGCAGGCATGTCAAGCTCCTCTACACACTCCAAATACACAGAAATTAGACACCCAGTCTACAGGAGGTAAACAGTTCCTAACTCTACCAGAACAGAAAGTCTCAGCACATCCCAAGTTTACAACTGGGCAACTACTTGAAGGAAAAATGACCTAACTTATCTCCTATGTATTTAGTCTCTCAGTTATTTTCAACTGAGAGTTTGATTTTTAGTCAGTTACCTGTGAATTGAAGATGAAATATTTTGGCTTGCACACATCTTCACTTGTTATGTTTTTATCTACCAAAGGTGCCAGAGTCACATTTATTAATGTCATGTTCACGATGTCACTACCCATAGGACAAGGAATCTGAAACATCTTCCAAATCACCTAGAAATAAAGCCACACTTATTGTTACTTTGACTAATGCAACATGTGAAACTTTTCAGAAACTGTATTTAATTTCACTTTGAAATGCAGTTTTACAAGCACTGGAAGTCTACAAGATTATACTTACAACAATCAGAAAGAAGACCATGCAAAGTAAGGAAAAGCCACTGGTATAGCCCAAATATCCTGTGTTCAAGAAAGATAAAAAAAAAAAAAAATCTAAGGTGTGATAAACAGAAACACCATTCAAGTCACAACATTATGACAAAATATATTGTCAGTGATCTCTTTAGATTGCCATTTTCTCAGTGTTACACAGAACAGTTAATTATTCATTGACTTCCTGCTAATCTCAACCCAGATCTGAAAGTTCTCAAAGACATATTAGAGTCTGTATGTACAGTGAGTCTGTAATATTCAGCTGTATAACTTACAAAAAAAAAACCCACGATGAAAAACCCACACCAACAACTATGTGAATTGTTCATTTTATACCAAGCATGATTACACTATTAATTCTAATAGAATGCTCTGTGAGATGACTTAGCCTTTTCCTTTCAGTTTTTATTGATTCACTTCATTTGTGGAAGTAATTCACATCAGGACCCTCAGTTAGTAAGGTTCCACTACAGGAATCTCTGATGCGTTAACTGAACTATTCACATATATCACTGAATTACAGCCATTTCTGATAAAGCATCTAGTATGAATATTCTGCTACTGCCTGGGATCTAAAATGAAAAAAGTGACTTCTATTACATTGCAAAGACAATTTTACTGCCCAGGGCTGGAACCCCTATTCAGCTGAGACTGTTATAGTATAGATGGTAACACTATTCACTACTAACAACATTATACTATCTCACCACTGACTGAAATAGGTTATCTTTGTGATAAGAACACAAGCAGAAAGTTACTGTTGAGCCTTGTTCTAAAGCTACCCTATCTACTGTCCTTTTGTTTTCCACAAACATATCTGTAACTGAAAAAAAAAATCAAGTATCTTAAGTAGACTGACAGCAATTACCTAAATACTGTTTAGTCCCAAGAGACAAGTTTGGAGACAGCTGTTAATTCACACAGTACTTCAAGTCTCAAACACTGTATCAACTCCTGTCCCCACAGTATTTTCAATGCATTTTTATTTTGATTGTACTCTTCTGCTTACCTAAATTTTTCAGTAAGGACAGGGGAAGAATGAGGATGACAGACACCAGCAGCACTAAATAGTCACCGTTCAGATACCATTCTCTGCAGAAAAACGGCAAGATTTGTAAGCAAGTCAAAGCATTTTAAAATTACATTTGCAGTTTAGTCTTCACTCTTATCTTCTCCTACAACATATGGTTTCTTAAAAAAAAAAAAAGTACTACCTGATACCACAAAGGATTAGTATTTAGCTTACTATATGGACCTAAAGCCCTACCATACCTTCTTATCTCACCCCAAACCTGCATTGTGCCTTTCCTTTAGTGTCCTTTTCTAAAATTAATATGCATCTGGAAGTCAGAAGACAGGAAAGTAAATGGTCAGAAAAAAGTCAGCTGGGATTAATCACAAAAAAACCCCAGTAATTTGCTTAAATGTTGGTTCCCAACTCTCCAGATGTATCAGCATATTGCAGGGACCCAGCAGGGTAGTGATCCACTTTCAATGGAAATAAAACTCTGCTGGGTGCCCTGCAGGAGTTAAAGAAAAACGGGTGAGGGCTGGAGTTAAGGCAGTAGCTCAAGCCCACTGGCTGAGAAAACTCCAACAAGCACCAGGAGTCTCTTGGAGGCGTGTTTAGTCCCTTTCAGTAGGGAAACTAAGATAAGAACCTCAGAAGGTTTTTCCTTCCAATCATTTTTGCCACGTATTCCGTAAGAAGCAGCAGCTAGTTTTTGACAAAACATTTTGCAGTGTCAGAAGATTAACATCTTCCTTTGAAACACAGAAAGCCAAAGTTAAATCTGTGCAAATGTAACGTAATTTCACTGAACAAAAAGCAAAACTGATCTTGAGTATTTAATCATGGCAGGGTAATTGCTTTCTTCATCTGTCCTACAGAACCATCCTATATGCTTTAAGCAATTAAAGTAAGACTAAGCAATTATTTCCAAATATTAATACTTTGTATCCTGTTATGGTATCATCTAACAGTATTTGTATTAAAATGGACTGCATACTATTTAGGCAAAGAAAAACTAATGACCTAATAGGAAATTTGTGCATTCAAACTCAATTGCTGAAGAGTAAGTCTATATATGGAAGTGGAAATATGGAATAGCTTTAACAGACTTGCTCTGGATTTATGTAGTAAGCACAAAAACAATTTGGTCACCTCTTTCTCCAGTTTTATCTGGGATAACTGAATGTAAAAACTGTGGTTTAGAAAGTTCAGATGTGTAGGACACTAACATCATGTACCTTCTTGTTTTTTTAATGTAGTAGTTTTGTGGAAAATTTAAAAGAAATCACAGCACAGAGATTCCTTGCATTTGATAGCCATAAGAAGGTGGACTGTTATTGTGCATATCCCCCACTGAAGCCGTCAGGACTTTCAGACTAAGGACTTAAAAGTCCTTCTGTGTTGAAGAGTAAAGAATGGGATTGCACAGCTTTAAAATACAGCTGAGTACTTTGAAAATTACCAAATTAATTCTAATGATGGAGCTAGTATTTGTAGTATTGTCTCAGAATTCCAGAATATCTTCTACAGTAAGCATTATTTTGGGACATTTAAACAGGTAAGTGCTTACATTTTAGGCACCAGGCTGCCAGAGTGGAATCCATGCCAATGGTAGCCACCCAGACTCCCCTAAGCAATGCATGGAGAGAGTCAGTTAAATGGGGTCCACAATTGCCAGAGCACTGAGAAAAGATTTACCTTACATCAGTGTACAGCTACCCCACACCAGACAACAAAAAAAAAACCACTTAAGATACAAATCTCCATTTCTTAATTTTATCTGCCAGATATTGCAAAGCAGCAGCTGTATCCAGGGAGATTCACAGCCTTTAACTTTCCCTCTTCAACTGCAATCGATTTTCAATTCTTCCCTGAAGATGGGACAGTTAAAAATACTTGCCTCCAAGCCCCCTTGTAAGTACTGGCTACGCCAGGGACTTTCTTAAGAAGTGGAAAATACGGACTTGAATTCAGCCAGATGAGGGAAATGAACCTTCCCAGCAAAGAATTTGTGAACATTACACTAATAATTAAATAGGGCAGGTACATTCTTTGAGTACATTTAAAAAAACAAAAAAAAAAAAGATGGCTAGCATTGTTGTCATGACATTGTCTATCAGCAAGCTGTATGAACACCACCAAATGGCTTGAACCGCTTGGGCAACACAGGCAGAAAAATGCCTACCTTCTGAACTCAGGCTTAGTTGTAAGTTGGAGTCTTGAGCTGCTCAGCCCTCTCAAGACTGGGACACTTCAGGACAAGGCACAGAAGTACAACTCTGAAGAGTGAGATTTATAGCACTTAACTCTATCCATCTGAAGTCAGGCATCTTGTTTTAGATAGCTGTTTTTACACACCCTCTCAACACAGAGCGATATCATAAATCGCTCTCTGGAGATGCCCAAAACAGGCATCTAAGCCAGGTGCACTGAACTTACCACTACAGAGAATAACTGTTCTCCACAAGACCAGAGTAACAATGAGCTCAAAATCTAACTTTCAGATGGTACGGTTAGATAAAATGAACCCTACCCAAGGCACCCATTTTCAAAGCCAAGCAGGAAAGCCACTATGGAGTCAAGCTGTCTCCATAGCTAAATGGCAATCCGTCCACCATTTTAGTCTTGGGCATATAAACTCTGGTTTAGTTCAATGTTTAGTCCCCATGTCTCTTTGAGAACTGCTCTTCAAGACATTCATTATGTAACTGCACCTTAGTCTTATATTTAATCACTTCCCACCATATTAACACTAGAAAATCAAATTAATCAGTTCAATTTAGAACGCAGTAAGAAAAAAACCCCAAAACCAAAAAACAACCATAACCACATTTACCTTTCCTTATCGAGAGTATGTACCGAGTGGTACATACATTAACACTTACCTGATGTTCTTTAGAGAACAACTTTGTCTAATATGATGTGATACCTGTATTTTTCTACCCTGTTCCCAGGACAGGCTGGATCTAAATGTAGTGGAGCACTCAGGGGAAGGGCAAACTTCCTGTATCTCTGTCTGAGTAAGAAGCTACCCTACGGTGTACCGAACGTGGTCTTCATATAAATATATATACAGTCTCCGTATTTGCTTCTCCTAATAGTTTCTCTGATGAGGAGTTCTAACACCTACCCTGTGGTCTCTTCGATGTTCATAAATGTCTTGATGACCAATGGTAACTCATATTTCACTATGAAGAGGTAGCTTGACATAGCTGTAGGTGAATAACATCATAGATCATTACAAATATAGAATATGCCACAAGATGCAAGAATCACATAACATGTTTCATAACCTCACTTGAACACAAGCAGTTAATGAACACATGTTGTGTGAAAAAAAAAGTCTCCAAGAATAAGTAGGGAACAATTACTATCGACTGTACAGACATTTTAAGATCTCGTCCTCACCTCCAATATTCTGCATTGTAATTGATCCAGAAGCAGCAAGTTTTCCAGCCATACCAAATGCCTTCATTCCCAACTGTTCATACAATAAAGATCCTAAAAGAAAACAAAAGAATCCATTGGAAGGGTGTGTTTCACAAATAGACTGCATGAAACAAACACCACGTGTTTGTAAAATAGTTATTTGCCATACCTCCTTCATTGGCAGTCTTCAAAAGGAGATGCACTGAATACAAAGAAAATATTGAGACAAACAGCAGGAGTATCCTGTGGGGGAGAAACACGCAAATGTTTAATAGCCATCAACGACTTATTATAACCTTATTAAATAAAGTCAGATCAAACATAAAAAATAATCATATTATTATCTGGGAAAACCCTGTAGATCCTAAGGCCAGATAAAAGCATTCTGAAAACCCAATTAATGCCTAGTTTAGAAAGGATTTTATACCAAAAAGCATTTCACTGGCATGCAGAGAAATTCTAGTGTAGGATTAGCCAACGCTTCCATTCAGTGTAAGGTGGCATAAGCACCGGCAAGTGTCAGGCCATTATAATTGGCCACATTTGATATAAATAACTTGACAAAGTATCAATGGGAATGGTTTTGTATCATTGTAAGAAACTGTATTTTGCCCATCTTCCTGTCCTTGCTCAACAGCGTTTCATGCATCTATTGAACATCAAGCTGCGACTAACTGTAGCTAAAGTGAGGATTATCTCTTGGTCTTAAACAAATCAGCTTTTCAGCTTAAACTGTGTTATGTCTTTTTTTTTATGTAAAGATGAAACTGCAAAAGCCTTAAAGAAGTGACTGAAAATTCAGCTGTATTGAGAGTTGTGTCTTCAAATGGAAATACATATTTATTGTCATTAAAAAAAAAAATCTTTGCTCAAAAGTTACTCTTCTTGCGTGCTTACATGGGAATCGTTAGTAGCTTGTTTATCTTCTTCACAGCTTTTACAAGCAATATACATTATTTTCAGAAGCACATTTGCAACATCTAAAATTGGGATCACTCAGCAACAGATCTCTCCCATAACAAATGCACTTCCTGGAGTGGCACACTAGGGGGGACTTCTCAGCTGCTGAAGAACACAGTGGAAAATTACAACACATTCAAAAAAACCCTGGCCTTTCTTATACCAATACAAGCAATCTGCTTTACAGGAAACCTAAGAATCAGCACATATGCTCAAAACCAGCAAGCTGCATTTAAGAGTTCCTGGAGTACTCTTTACACTTCCTTTTGTGTCACTGCAAAATTAGTAAACACAGCACAAAGAACTGGAAACAAGAACATCTGAGAAAAACTTCACAGGTCTGTACAAGCAATACATGAAACTTGTGTTATGTGCCAATTCAACACCAACACACAAATAATAAACCTCTGTATTTCTGACAAGTAAAGATTAACCAGGATTTAATTCAGCCATGAACTAGAAACAGCACAGTGAGATGCGGAAGGGTTACATGTCGTTAAAACAGCACAGATCCCGGCCCCCTCAGTCCTAACCTCGAACGGCTGCCTACAGTGTTGACAAGATCAGTCAGCAAACTCATCTTGAAGCTCACTCAGTTTCAGGCTTCCAGACCGTATTATTCATTTATTTAGTGCTGACGTGAGTGACAAGTCACAGCACTGACACAAGTGACTCCACACAGTCGTTGAAGAATGTACTGTTTTAATCAACTGCATCTGGATCTGAATCTGTAACCTAGTTATTCAAGGATGTCTGCTACGCCCTCAGTGTCATCAGTGATTGACTGCTTTCCTGCCTTGGAACTATACTCAAAGCTTTGAATGGCAACAAGCTAGTTTATCTTTGAATTGATACTAACACAAACAGATCTGCATGCAGTATCTGGAAATGGAAGGCAACTAAATGACCTCAGCACCAAACTGTTGACAGTTTTGAACATTTATTTTCTTCCGAAAAAGGACCTCCCATTATATGCAAATCTGTTCAAATATCTAGCCTTAAATTCTTTTTTTCCCCTCTCTTCAGAGATGTTCTAACATGCACTACGCTGATTATCTTGTATGTGTTGCAGAACATCTTTAAAACACGAAACTGACGTGTAGAGAGATAAAGTATCTATCTCTTCTGAATTCATGCCGCTAAATTGTTCGTTTAATTTAGCATCATCTAAGTAAGTCAAAGCCTTAGCAAAAAATTAACAAATCACCATATATTTAAAATAAAACACTTCAGAATAAAACTCTACACAGTAGTATCCTCAGGGAACTTGAACACCACCCTGATACACTGCGAAATACCTGGAAGTAAATTTGACTTACAGCTTTGTGGAAATCTGGCAACAGAGTAAGGCAAATTTTGAACTAAAGATTACTCTTCACAATGTTCTTGAACACTGAGCATATTTAACTATTTCTGGGATAAAAATACCAAGTTCCTTTAAACATATCCACGGATCCCCATTTCCGCTCAGTCACTGGTATCACATGCCGTGTGAACTGAACTGCCTCCAATACATCAGAAATGTACTCTCCCAAGACACTTGGAAGCACAGTACAAAATTGTTTCCCTCATGCCATCTCCAATTACATTACTATAATCTTGCCTTATACATGAAAGCTTTTGCCAATATAGACATACCAATAAAGATATGCTGGTTACTCCACATCCCTGCCTTGCAGGGAGACAGCAATTTTTATAGGTGTAGCTGAAACCAGTTCACTGAATGGAGTAAAAGCATAGTAATACAAAGGCTTCTTCTACTGGTGTAAGTACATCGCACCTCCATAGGCAAAACTACGTCAGCTGAGGAAAAGGAGACCATGTCCCTGACCGGTAGGACTGGGCCACAGAAATTTTATTTTAAGAACAGACATGGCCAGACTTGCAAGGGACAAATAAAATAATCCTCTTCTGCCTACATTTTTCTTCTAACTCTCTACAGGCTGATCCCATACTTTTTGTGTAATTGCGACTTCCACTGCAGTCATTAATTTCAATCAGCAAACTCTGGAGGAAAAAGCTGATGTAGACTTGAGTCTGTTAAGTAGCACCTCTCTTTTCCACTTGGATAATGGAATTTTCCAGGGAAGTCTGCGAGTTATGCATGGAGAAACTACAGCTAAGTAAAGGAAAATTCAATGTAAAATGTTTTGAGGGTGCAGAACTTGCAATGAATCCATTTAATTTTTGCAAGTCCTTCTGAATGCATCACAAACTCTTAATTTAAAACAAGCCATAAATCCTAGAATGCAATTCTGTGCCTACAGCAATGACTGGGTATTTTGTAAAGGTCATATTCTTACATCGAGTATTTTTCCATTATTAATTACACAGCAGAAAGACTTTTTTTTGAGGAACCAAAAGATACTTACACAAAAAGAGCAATTCCAGTGTTAGCCATGGCATAAGAAAGACCAAGGATGCCACTACCCACAATAGCATTGCTCAGATTAAATACCGACATTCCAAAGGAAGTAGTACCCGGATGCTGAGAAAAGGGAGACAGGTAATAATTAGTAAAAAGTTATTACTTATTTCAGAATTAAAACAAACATAAATTTGGCAAGAAAGCACCTTTTTCTTTTTTTTTGGTTGTTTTTTTATTTTTTTGAAACATCACTGCTGTGTACTTACATACTGAGTCTCATATTTCTTCTTTCCAAGATTGGAGTCGAGCAGGAAATTTTGATTTTCTGGATCAATATCTGCATAGTGGCTGTAAAAAAATCATTGCATTATTAGCGAACATCAGGGGTGACTTGTGCGTTTCCGTTCCCGTTCAGCACTTCCAATCCACCTCACAGGAGAAAACCAACAGAACGACCCAAAAAGAGGACACTGCTCCCCCCCACCTGCCACCCTGCCCGGTACGCCAAGCACTGCGCGTGTTTACATCCGCGGTCACTCTCGTGCTTCTGTGACCGTGTCAGCACGGGCAGGACTGAAACCGGGGCGGTCGGCGGAGCCCCCTCACCTCTTCATGGCGGCCGGCTTGGTGGGGTAGGGGTAGCTGAAGTCGTTGCTGTTGGAGCTGTAGCTGCTGCTGTCCTCGTCGGGAGAGATGTTGAACTTGCCCATCTCGGCGCTGCTCATGGCGACGGCGGGG